TCTTGAGAAAATCTTACGATCGCGTGTTCAAGCTCACTGCGGCAAACCGGCAGATGAGAGGACGAACACAACCTTGAGAGTTCAGTTATTACGTCCCGCGTAAAACATAATTAGATGCTTCTGGCGAACCGTGATTCTCAATCTGCAATCTCTGATTATGTTATTAATAGGAAATGTTGAATGGTGATACGCCTCTTACATTGAACAAATTTACACTGATTCGTCCTTTAGGTTGAGATTACGCTTCGCGGCTGGATCCAGCATCTACGAGGACGAGAAAGCCGAAAGGAAGTTGCCACGAGGGGCAGAGGAGCGAAGAGAGCGCGAGAGGGGTATTTACATTGCTAATGTATCGCCGGCCTAACTTCTAATTAAACAAATTCGCACAACTCAGCGCACCGCGCGGTTGCCTCGTGGAATTGCTCCGAGGAAAGGAACGAATGAAGAGAAAGGGACGACGATGGGATGAAGAAAGAAAGGGGAAGGAACAGAGATCCACGGTGTATTCGGTGGCGGCAGCGGGGAAGAGGGAAGCCAAAGGGAAGCTGCCTTCTTACTGGAGGGGTCGCTCGTTAGCGCTCTTAACGCGACTTACCGCCTGGAGCGCGAGCCTCCAGTCGTCCCTCCCCGATTCATCGAGAAGAAGGAATGAATATTTATAAGAAACTGCAAAATAGTAGACTAATCTTTTCTCTTTTTATGTTCGCTTCTCTTTCCCTCCGCATCATTTCTCCTTAGACTCCTCGTTCACCGTCCCCCGCAACATCGTCTCCCTTCTCTCGACTGAACTTCTCGTCTGTCGAAACATACAAACTTTGTACCCTTTTCTTTAGTTCAATTGTCCTAATTAACATTTTCATACATACTACATCGACAAGCAGAGTAACCCTCCCTGTCTTATTTTTATTTATTATATAAACTGCGAGAATTTAAAAAATCACTATTTGTATTTACGAAAGAAAAGTTCCAAATATATTGTTCGAGATATTTTCAGTATTCTATAAACGTAAATGTGAGTGTAATATTATAATAAATTGATCTCATTCGATTAGAACCTTCGCCTGATTTATTTTAGAAGATTTTCTCTAAACTTAGTTTAAATGTGGATCAATATACAGAGCAAGTGAAAATGACGCATTTGGACACGTAAGTTTATCGTTATTACGTTTTCCTAATTACAATTTTGTAATCGGCTCCCGAAATAATCGTGTCTCTTTTCAAAATAAGATTCTAGTATTTCTTGTGTAAAACAAGAATGTTACTTGTCATTTAAATCCTCCGTAAGTATGTCACGTTAAATATCTTCCTTAATTGTATCACCTCGCAGCAGATGTACCCATTTTCTTCATCTCTGCTCATGCAGACATTGTTTCCGTTCGGAAATCTTAACATGTATCAAATGTTCATTGCGTATTTGATACAACTCATGCAACCAGTGCCAATTAAGAGAAATGGATTTCGTAGGGTAGAAGAAGGCCCGAGGAAAAGAATTTCGCTTACGAGACATCGATTAACAGTCAGACGTTTACCGCCTTTTAATTTATTCAGTCGAGTCAAGCTACAACGATGGTGCGTTGGCCGTGCTACTATTTAGATCCACTCGAGCGATTTCCGTAATTGATTTAATCGAGTCGGATTAATATCTATCATGTAGGTCGATTAAAGTAAACGATGTATCCACGCCTGTTTCTCTCTTCGTAACTCGTACACTCACGCATAAACGAGTTATCGAGCGATAAGTTAGATAAATCGCGATCAACCAAACGTACGATCCTTTCAGGCCGATAGTTTTGACAAAAAGCAGACAGGAATCTTTAAAAGCAACGGTTAAAAGCATCGAACGTTTGACAAGAACGGTATCTAAAACGTCCCAAGCCTGTTTCCCTCGGCGTTGGCTATCTCTGCTCACTTCCGTCGCGACTGGCTCGATTACGGTGCAATAAAACACTGTCCCGACACCTGCGAGTACAGAGGCCTCTTTCCTCCTCGATAACCAAGACTTCATTCACGGAGCCGGATGTACACGCTGTTTTTTCTAATTTGATTAAAAATCTTGCACAATCTTATTCGGTTTGCAAGAGAATTGTCAACGAGAGGCGACGACAACGCGGAGTGTTGAAAAGATTAACCGCGGAGCAAAAGCTATCGGCGACCGTGAACTCTACGTGGGCGCGTTTCTCTCAGCTTTCGCGAGTCTCTTTGTTACAGGCTGCGAATAATGTGACCTTAAAGTCACAAGACACGGTGTCGTGGCGTCTCTAAATGAAATTGATCCGATCCAGTTTGACGGAAAGTAATCGTCCAAGTGACGTGGAGTTTCGGGGCAACGAATAGACTTAGATACGCGTTAGAATATTAGGAAGAAAGATCGGCTCGCGCTAGAACGTTCGACTCGAATCGTACGTGCCCTTGACGAGCGACCGTGTACAGACGTGTAAGTGCAGAACGAGCGAACGAGCGGCACTTTGTGGGGTCGTAAAACAGCGGCAGCCTTGTAAATCTGTACCCGAGTGTGCCAGCTCTGACAGATTCTCGCTCCACCTCTTCACTTCTTCCCGCGATCCTACACACTCGTCTCACGCTAGCGCCTGCACCCGCGCATTCGCTCGACGCTCGCTCGCATCCGTGTCCGCGCTACCTGCGCTCTGAGCCGCGCTCACACATATACACGTGCGTGTGTTCGTTCTTTGCTTTGCGCTGTTTGTTCCGCCAAGAAACATCTCTGACCGATCTCGTTTTTCCTCCTTGTTCGTCGCGAACGTTTCCTCCAGTTACTCACAACTCTCGTTATCTTCTTCCGCCGCCGTCATAATACTCGCGGGGAAATATCAAAATATGTCAGCAGAAGAATATTTGATGATCGTTCGATAACAGAAATAACACAATAATAAACAGAAGATCGAAGGAATTTGATGCATCGACGAGTGCTTGCCTCTGTTTCTATCCGCTGACGATTGTTCTCGGTTTGACGTTAGAAGAGAATCGGGATATCCTGAAATTCGCTAATTTGCAATGCAAATAGCACGTAAGATTTCTCGGCGAACGCAGTATTTTTATTATTCCGACGCGGGCTTAAGCCTGTTGTTCACGGTACACGGTGCTCGTGTAAAGTGAAGAACAAATGTAACGAGGCAGTCGCGTCTTACTCTCCGATAGTAGCTTACCTGATCAGGCGCGCCTTACCCCTTAAGCGCAACTTCTTTTTACGCGGTGGTCTCTTAGTATGCGCGCGCGACCGTCGTAAAGTAGATGTACAGATCGCGCGTATCTTACGAAACTAAATTGGAACGAGACGAGTAAGGGGCGAGAGACAGAGAGTTGCTCGAAACGGGGAGGCAGAAAGTAAAACGGCGAGATAGAAACGGAAAGGAAGAGGGAACGAGCTGGCGTGCGACGAGGCGGGAAGTAGGGAAGAGGCGAGTCTGCGAAAAGGAGAAGAGGCACGGGAATCGACCAGAGAGAGGAGGACAGGAGAGGAGAGTGCGAACACCCACCGGCCAGCGGTGCGGCGCATCCAGCTGGCTCTCCCACGCATTCTCGGTCAACTGACATCTTCATCATCCACCGGCACGGTGGAGGGTTCACGTTCCGAAGGAATTAAAATTCTGGCTAACCAACCACCGACACTAGCAGCGGCATCGTTTCACATTTTTGCGGGTCATCTGATTATCGTCACCGTCACTCCACTGGCACCATAGATATTTTGACCGACCGATAAAAAGAGAGTCAAGGTATTCGTTGAGCGATTAAACTACGATAGGATCGGCCGAAGTGAACGCGAAAAGGGAGAAAAAGGACTCTCTTACGCGAAAACAACTAGCAGTCTGGTTATCGGTTGTCCAGAACCCCTACAAATCTCGAGTTATCGTTTAGCCTGATCTCCGGACCACTTTTTGGTGGCCTCTTCTAATGTCTTTGCTCTCGATCTCCGGTAAGACACCTACGCGGATATTCGTTGAATCACGGAATGTCAAAGGGAGATCGCAGAGCGAAAACTAAAAGGAATGATGGCCTGCGGGGATAGAAGCTGACCCGTAAACGCACGTTATTTTGCCCGTCGAAAATTTTCATCTAAATAGCACACACGAGTCGATAAACGAAGAAGCAATCAGGAAAGGAGAGGAACAGGCCAATGAGCAACGAGTGTGAACGGGCGGAAGAGGCGAAAGGGACAACCGTGAGGGAAGAGAGTAGAGGAAATGACAAGGGCTCGTTTCTTTAAAGAACCGAGGGTTACTTTCGCAGCATTCGAGAATCGGTAGCCTTTCCACCGATGTTTTATTTTATCCTCTCCGCTCCATAAGATCGCATTCTTTACGACCCATTAGACGAATTCATTACCAGCCCCGAGTAATAGGTAGGTGAGGTTCGTAAGCTCCTTCCGCCCTTCCAACCTCTTTCCCTATCCCTCTCCATAGCCTCTAGCGCAATTTCCCCGTTTTCCCTGGATGTCCCGAATCTCGCTTTCGCTTTCTACGTTACCTTTCTAACTTGTCTCGCGGGACGCAGGGTTCGACGACGTGCGACAACGGGAAGAAAAGTATTCCACTTTGTGTGCCGGAAACATAATTCGCAAATTACAGAGTCCGAAATTAGAGAAACTATTACACGTATTGCTGTTTAAAAGCGTTATTTTATAGAGAACGACGAACGGAGGTCCGCCGAACGGCCTTGCCTGAAATCGTATCTCGCGATAGGTCCTCTGGTTGATAAGCGATTTCTATGTTAGCAACGTAGTTCTCTGTTTATCTATTTTATCCATCGCTTCTACCTATTCTTCGACGATATTATGCGAGAGACTCGGTGTCTCCGATACCGGCACGTACGTACGTTTCGAGCCGATATCGCGTCCCATCGAATTAACAACCCTCTCCCCGTCGAGCTCCTACTCTATTCTCATTGTACGGTCGACCGAGTTTTCTAAACCATCCCTCGTCGGATGATGAGCACCTATTATTAGAGAAAAACATTGTAAGTGAAGGAAACGAATGGAGATTGCGTTTACTTTATAACATATATATTTATTTGAGCTTTAATTGCATTTTAAAATACAACCGAAATAATTAAATAATGACAAATCTGGTAAAATGGTTTCAAGAGTCGCGTATACATGATGCATATCTTTGTGGTTGCGCATTTGTAAGTAGGTAGGTACTTTTCGAGCGTATTTTTCGCACGGTTGGCTATTTTACGTTTCGTTTTTTCCCTTGTATTCGCGAGCGTGTACGCGCCGCGCGCCTTCGTTCGCCGCGTATCGCATCCACGATTTCTTTTTTTTTTTTTATTCTTCGTATCTCCGCTCGCACTCTCAGCAGTCGTATATAATTACAATAATAATATTAATATTATCGTTATATCGATAAATACTTTTAAAGTCCGCGATGGAAGAATTAGAGTTTACAAGAAATACGTATACAAGTGTGTTCCGCTCCAGAACTGCGCTTGCTCGTCATCGAGCGCGCGCAATCATCGCTCCTACGGCTTCTGTTTCTTTCTCTTTTTCTTTCTCACTCGAGTCGCCGATTTTCTTTACGCGTTCTCGCACTCTCCTGCCTAGCTTCCGTACCACTTCTCGCAATCCTTTATTTGCCTTCTACTTCAGCTAGTTCACCCTCACTTCCCTTCAGCTTCTCGCTCGGATTGCACGCAGGCACGCATCCACGCACGCATCCACGCACGCATGCAGGCAATTTGATACGCAAGCAGAAGTCGAGTTAAGACGATTCGCTGGAGCAATCGTTCGCTTCCCATCTATTTCACGGTTTCCCTCTAGCTTATCCATTTTTTCTTAAACTCCTTTTCGTTACCACTCTCTTTCTTTTTTCCTTTCTTTCTGTTCATAATTTTAGTAGAGAATAATCGTAATCGTAATCAATATACACGGGTATTCGCGATAATCCGAGCGATTATTAATGACAATATTTTACACTTAAAACGTCGCGTTGGCTCGCACGGCGCAATAAATATTATTTGAACAAAGAAAATTTACAATGGTCTACTCGTACGCTACGAGCGAAGGAAAACGATAATTTTCATTTTTCGAGGACGTCGCGTCGCGCGCGCTCGACTCGCCGCGCACGCGTTTTTCGAATTATAAACTGCGAGCCTCGCTATTGCACCGTATGTCGTTGCTTCTCGATGCACCTTTCTCTTTCTCTATGCTTTCTCTCTCTCTCTCCCTTTCTCACCTTTTCGTCGCCTTACCATGGTTTCATATGATTCCTCCTGAATTTAGTAGACTTTCGTGGAGGTTCGATCACGAACGATCTCACTGGTTTTTTTCTCAGCTCTACGTATCAACAAAGAGATTCCTATACAAGGGCGGACCCTAGCCTAGCCTATGCGCTAATTAACTACGCTCTTACGTTCTAGAGGTATACATGCTGATCTGACCTTACGACAGCTGTGATAGGTAAAGCCTTCCCGTCTTCCACCTTGGAAAATTCTATTCGTTATCCTCGCTGCCTTCCCCCTTTTTTTCGTTTAGTCATTCGCACGCGCTCGCAACATTCACACGTCTCACGTTTCTCACTCTCGCATTGCCTTTTTCAACGCCAGTCGTAAATGTCCTTAAGTATTTATAAAATCACAAACTTGGCCGCTCGCCGAGCCCCTTGACTCAGCAGTGCCGCGAGATATGGTGGCATCACAATTTAATCAACGCACGTTCGATATCCACCTCCTCCTTTCGCGTCGCGCGACTCGATTATCCGGTCACGATTCAATTCGGACGCTCCGCGAGAGAGCGATGAAGGGGCTGTTCGAGGGTGGCAAGATAAGAAAGGACGAGAAGGAGAAGGGAGAAGACGGGAAGGCGGCAATAGTGGGAGACGAAGAACGTTCGCCGGATAATGGTATCGCGAACGCAAAGACGGATGGCTCGTGGCGAATGTTCGAGGGGAGGTGTAAAGGTGTCCAATCGCGTCGCTAGTTACAATCGTTACAGTATAGATACACTTATGTACAAGTGGCACCGCTACTTACGGGGCTCGGACTATACGTATTTGCTGGACAACTGTTTCGCCAGCTCCGTATACTTGAGAAATTTGGAGTGCGGGCTCTCCTCGAGGGGAGAGGCCGCTGACTGAGATGGGCTGCCGTTCGCCTGCGGAAGCGGCGGCGACTTGTTGCGCTGTGACGTCGGCGGCGAAGAAGAACTGTGGCTGGCCGATGGAGGCCCGGTTGAGCTCTGCGAGACTGCGGCTGCCGCGGCCGCAGCGGCAGCCGCCGCCGCTGCTGCTGCTGCCGCTGACCGTCCAATCGTCAATGGGTCCGGAATCACGCCGTCCTTAACGAAATGCATTTTCGACAGATGGTGCCTGTACGCGCCCTTCGAGATGAACGGCGTATCACAAAATGCGCATTTCATGATCGAATCAGCCGTAACGACGGCATCGTTGCAGGCCCAACTAAACGCTAAGATGGCACCGGGAGTCGTTCCGGAACCTGGGCCTGTCGCACCAACCCCACTTCCGGCTGCTGATCCGAGGCCAGACGTGTTTCCGGAACCGCTACCGGATCGGCTCGCGCTACCGCTCGTCCCTCTGGTCTCCGTCTTGTCGCAGAGCTTCTGCAACGCAGCCAACGGATGGCTACTGGTCTTGCGTCCCTGAGAGTCGACTGCGCCGCCCGAGCCTCCTCCGTTTCCGCTTCCACCGCTCCCACCGACACCGGACAGGCTATCGAACATGGAAGAAAGTGCGCCGAGACTGCTCGATCCTTTTGTATCTGGAGTTCCGCGTGGCGTCACGGACCGATCGCTGCTGGTTGGACTGCTGGTACTGTTCCTACAGGGACTACGAGCCAGTTGTTCCGGTTGCCCGGTGGATCTCGGAGTCGGTGGATTCATTCGAGGCGACAGTACCTCTCTACCTTCTTCTGCTCCTTCGTGCAAGCTACTTCGCCGATGACTGAACGAACTCTGTTCGTCCTCGTCTCTACAGTCGTCGACGATTTCTTTCTTTACGAACACCTCACGATTCGATTGCGTCTGCGATTGAGACTGCGACAGGGGCTGTTCTTCCTCGTTTGAAACTCGTTCTTCCGAATCTTCATCTCGGGGTTCCTTTTTAACGACCACGTTCGCCGTCGCGGCTGAGTTCGCCGCAGCAACGGAAGCGGACGCGGTCGTCGACGATTCCTCGTCCCCGGATTCCTCCGCAGGTTGATGATGACGACTGGCTGGTAAACTCTGCGCTCCTACTTGCTTGTCCGGCGTAACCCGATGATGATGGGAATGCCTGCTGTCCGAGTGACCGACCGAAGATAGATCTACGCGCCTCTCCGGCGTCATCGCTTCCGTCCTACCGCCGCTGCCACGTTCCGATACGGAACTCGATTCGCTTCCACTTCGTTCTCGTCGCGCAGCCGTACTCGCCGCGTAGTGCTGTTGCTGATGTTGCTGCTGATACGATCGCAAGAGGTTCATCGTCTGTGGATCGACCAGAGGTTTCGTATAATCGACGCTCTCGTCGATGCCGAGTCGTTTCAAAATGCTGGTGCCCATCGGAGCGCCAGGTTGAGCGTGGTGCAGACCAGGCGTGCCGTGCCTTACGCGAGAATCGAAGCTCTTCTCGATCAGTTTCTCAATAGCATTCAGCACGGATGGGGAGGAGCTTCCGGTAATTTCACTTGAGATCGGAGTTGGCGTATCTTTTCCCGGCGTAGTCGCGTCGCTCGCCGTCGAAGGTGACCTGTGGTGCCTCGAAGACACGTTAGAACCATCCTCGGTGACGCTCTTGCGGCCACTTTCGCTGGGCGGTAACGTCGCCGGCAGGTGGTTCGACATTAACGCGTTCTTCAAGAAGTTCCGTTGATTCGCTCCCACGGTACCTGCTCCGATGCATTGACGTATATGATCGACGAAGATGGTCGTCTCGATCTTCTCGCCGCACTTCTCGCAGGTTATTCGACCCGCGTGCTTTCCTAGACTCTGACTCAAGCCCGTGGCAGCATCGCCGTTCTTGAACTCGTTCTGCGCTCGCTCCAGCTCCAGTAGCTTTCTCACCGGTAACGATTTCTTACGTTTCTCCCGCGTCTGTCGTCGCCGACCACCGCTTTCGGTGATCGAACGCATTATGTGTTCCTTGTAGTGGGAATTCTTCACCATGTGATTGCTCAATTCCTTCAACGAGCTGAACGCTTGATCGCATACTTTGCAAGTGAGCACCGCGCTCACGTGGCTGCTGGTGGCGCCAGAGCCAGGGCCGGCCGCGTTTCCGGAGTGAGGACCGGAAGCACCACCAGCGGTCACCGTCGCACCACCGCCTCCGCCGGCACCACTCACGGTTCCTCCACCGCCGCCACTACCTGCTCCAGTACCACCACCGCTGCCACCCTTACTCTCGTCCGACGACTTCCACGAGATGATCTGTTCCTGCGAGATAATATTGGTGTAATGCTGCGTCTGTTGCATGTGCGAAGTCATCTCGGCGAGGGAACGGAAACTCTGGCCACACCACATGCACTTCAAAATCTGTCTCGTTTGCTCGGCACCTTTCCCTAACCAAACATCTTGACCACGTACGAGCTTTCTTGGCAATGGCATCGTTTCCTTGATCAACAGATTCAACTCGGATGGACTTTGTTTACTGCTAGGCGTCGCGGATCCACCGCCACCGGAACCACTATTGTTACTAGACGCCGTGGTTTGCGACTGGTGCGTTTGAGGCGTCGGGATACTTGGCACGTTTGGCTGCTGAGGATGAAGCGCGGACGCGGCTGCCGGGACTGGCATGTTCACCCCGCAGTGTTTCGCTTCTTTCATGTGCGTGGTCATCGCGGCTAAGGTTGGGAAGCTTTGCTTGCACCAAACGCACTTGAGCACGTCCTTCGCTTGATCAGCTCCCTTGTTCAACCAGTGCGACTGCCATGCGCTGTGTCGGCTGCCAGAGGTCGACCCACCGGATGCATTACCGGCGACCGCTGCCGCTGCAGCAGCAGCTGCTGCCGCGGCTCCACTGGCACCTCCGCTTCCGACGCTCGAGCTTTGAGATCTGAACAGGTCTTCGCCACCCAGTTTGCTCAGCTCGCTCATTTTCTCGAGGGCTTTGGTCGCTTCGCTTGGCTGGTAAGACTTGTCTAGGGTGGACGGTGGCTTCATCTTGCCGTTCCAGAGTTGCTGATGATGATGCTCCACCACACCGGCAGTGCTCTTCGGCGAAAGTTGCTGCTGACTAGTGGCCGCTGCCGCGACTGCGGCCGCAAAATAAGGAAAGTGCGAGGCGACTACGGGCGACGTCCACGGAGAAACGACAGGCGGCCTGCCGAAACCGGCGGCAGAGACGGCCTGCGCGGCCTCCTGGTGGGCCACCACCGCCGCTGCTGCTGCCGCCGTGCTCGCGGACAGTCTGGAAGATTTACGAACCGGCGGTGGCGGCGAATCTTCTGGCCCAGGTCGCTTTCTACTCGGAACGGATAGATCCAATGGCCCGTTGTTCGTCTCTGTGGTGGAGGATGGTGTCGGGGGTTTGCTAAGGTTCAGTATCTGTTCCTCTTCGTCGTCCTCCGTCGAGGACGCTTTTCTGGTGCTGAAGTCAAGGACAGCGGGCAACGGGGTAGCCGACGGCGATACGTCACCTACGCTGCTAGGCGAGACCAGCAGACCGGGAGTAGCGGCCGGTGGCGAACACGAGGAGGAGACCAACGGTGAAACGGAACCACGTGACAGCGGCGAGTGTCCTAGTAATAGTCTCTGATGCGTTTGTTGCAGATACGCCGCCATCATTGCCGCGGAATGGGGAGGTAAGAGGGGATGACCGCCGAGCGGAAGAGGCACGATGCCGCTTGGACTAACTGGACTCGCGCTACCCCTCGTCGCTGGCGGTGGAGGACTCCCGGTCGCCGGACCGGACGATTCCCGAGAATCTCTCGATGGACAGCGCGGACTCATTGGCTCTCTGCAATCATAAAACAGAATGGGGGAACGTTTACGCGCCGATCGGTTTGGTTCGTTGTGGCGAGTGTTGCGCGTCGATCGCGCGAGAAACCGCGGTAGATCGATACCTGTCGAATCCTCCACGAAAAATAAGCGCGTCGAGGGCGAGATCACAAGCGATTTTGATTTCGAGCGTACGATCGATCAAATACGACAAACGTAGAGCGGCCGTGAGGGATTGCAAGCTTGTCGACGGCTCGCTCGTAACTGACTGCTTCTGACTGAATGCCGAATGCGTGCCACGAGACGAAAGGGGAGCAGAGCCTCGGCACGCACGCAGGGGAAGTTTTCGGTGGGTGGCGGGACAGCGCGGCGGGAGGCACCGAGGCGCCACTGCCGCAGCCTGCCGCCGTCACACGGCACACGCATGCATCCACCACCGCCCCCGTAGTAATCGGTGATGCGGCAAAGCGGTACCGGAGCGGTGGTGGAGCGGCGTCATCATCGGCGTTGGTGGGATCGTCGATGCAGGCCGACGCGTAACACGTGCCTATCTCTATTAGCCGTATGACGTCGCACGGCAGTCACCGATATCAGTCTGGCACCGGCTTATTTATCCCTCCTTCGTGCTCCCTCTTCTACAGATTCCCTCCACATCTCTCCCTGTGTTCCCCCTCTCTCTCTCTTTCTCGACCCTGTTGAGTTACACTCGACGAAACAACAAGCAAAACGTTTACACCGCATCTCTCGGTCGCGCGATCCTGGATTCGTGACGATTCGTCGCGTTCAAACAACGAGCGTAATACCCGTATGTGTACACGGAGGCACGCGGGATCGGTGACTTCAAAGCGAATGGTAGCAGCGCGGCGCTTTCGTTAGTTCAACAAGTTTATGACGAAGCTCGCGCTAAGGACCGGGCTAATGAGTTTCAAGCGGATCGCGGAATTTACATATACGTAGATATGTATTGTGTCTCGTTTCGTTTTAACGACTCGCGAGTTTTCAAAATTGCTTTACCTGTCCGGGGGTCCTGTATCCCTCAAAATCGTAGGGTTCAGTCTCGCGGTCGCGGAAGGTGGTGGCGTCGGTGGCGATGCGTCCTCGTCGTCTTCTTCGTCGGTCGCGTCTCCCTCATCTTCCTCTTTGGTCGCCGTCGTGCAACCCCTCTCGCTAGGACTAATTGCGGTATCATCCTCCACGCAGTCGCCCTCCTCCCCCTGGAGGTCCGCGCCGGGCCCTGAGCCTTCGACTCCGTCCTCCCCTGCAACGGAAAATCGGAGAATTTTTTGAGCGAGAATTCCAACGCCGATAATCGGAGAACGCTAAAAGCGGAACGGAATAGAAAGACCGAAGTAGTTATACTTGTGTTAACTCGGAAGAAGAAGCAGGAAAGGGAAGATCGACTAGATGCAGCAGCCACGCGGAGAACAAGAATTTAGAAACGAGAAAATAGAGAGCCGAGGGACGACGTAAAGAGGCAGGAATGAGAATGCTCGTTGCGACACAACGGCGTTATCGGCTCATTTATCAGCCTTTCGCGGCTACGATCTAGACGTAGACGTCGCGAACGACGTCGCGACGATAGTATTCGCGGTTGCGGCTACATCGGATACGTCGGGCTAGATCACCGTCGTCTATTGTCGAACAACTAACGGACTCTCGTTGACTCGTATACCGACTCTTAATCAAACCTTCGCCACGATCGAATACGAAGATGGGGCTGAAAATAGGTAGGTACCGTCATCGAGACCGTTTCCGGAAGGGGCTGCGTATCGGCCAAAAGACGGTAGCTGCATCGCCATCTTGTTCCGGTGACGCATCCCCGTTCGAGATGGCGCGAGACGAGGAACCTTCGGATTCGAAGATCTCCGAAGGGAGAGAAGCAAAGAAAGGAAGACTTAAAGAAAGAGGTGAAAAGAAGCACCACAGCACACCTCCCTTCTGTGAGGGTGGGGACAACCGGGACGAAGAGCACCGTCCTACTTTGCCGACTGGCCAACCAAACGATCGTTTGTTCACCAATGGTCCAAGGAAGAAGGAGGGAAAGGAGATCGCGCATTGATCCGTGGAGGCATCGGCAACTAATTACGCAGATTTATGTCCCCATTGTCCATTGTCTCTCTCGCCCGGAGCGGCCCTCCGGATCCCTCCGCGCGACTGTGAACGATACGATGGAAGAGGCTACTGGCGATCCAGCCCGGGAGAACGGGAGGTGCTCGAAGAAAAGGAGAACGACCAACGACCGCGAAGACGACCACGTCGACGACGGCAACGAGGAAGACGACATCGAGGACTGAGGTAAAAACGAGCACCAAGGATCGGACCTGGAACCGGGCTGCTGCTACCGAGAAGGGATACACGCAGGCAACTCGGAGACCAGGGCGGACCACCAGAGCTCCGCCCGCTTAGAGCACGTTCTCTTTTTCCCTTGTCGCGTTTCTTCCCTTCGCTCGTTCACGAAACGGACGCGCTTCGTTCGCGCCTTCGTGCTTTTTCTCTCTATTTCAATTCGCAGCCCGGTTAGCCACCGCGCCGCTGCTGCTACCTCTCACCCTACCGTCCCGGAACCGTCCGCAGCCCGTCCAGGATGTTGTCGAACCAACGACCACGGGTCCCGCGAGCGAACCGGACAGGAGGGAATAGAATGCAAATGCTCGCGCGAGCTAAGGTGCACGCGCATCGCTGCCAGAATGGTCGTTAGCGAGCGAAAGGTTGCGTATTCAATTACAGTAAAGATATGCGCGAGAAGAATAAGGAGCGTGGCGTACCGAGTTTAAAACCAGCCGCCTTCTGGCATTGCACCGGTTAGAAGTTGCTACCATACGATATCCGACCTACTCAACATCACTGCGAGCATAGCAACGCTTTACCAGCGATCTTGCTTAGCTTCGCCATGATACCAATAATTATTTCGGAACATCTTTTCTCACTGTGATTTTGCACTTTCGTCCTAATAAACGCTTTTCTCTATGGTTTGCGTGCTTGCAGTGTCCCAATCCCGCTCGCACTTTGTACTTCGGTAATGCGATTGTAGATTAAATCTTAATTCCACTAAAAATTTATTGTATCCGTGGCGTATATCAATTCGTTTGAATTAAGATTCACCGACAATGAGGCTTAACCGGTTGTTAAAACATCTCGCGCGGTGCGATAAATTACAGCGAGCTAATAAAGTTAATTGTTTGCAAGGTAAACCGAGATAACGGCAATTTTCCTTTGACGGGCTTACTCCGCCTGGCTGTTATCTCGACGTTGATCCAGTTGTTTAAATAATTTGATCAACGATTTAAAGTGCATGTAAGCGATCCGCGTAAACAAGACGATCATTGATCGTAGGAAAGTCAAAGATGAAATAAAGTGGAACTGGCGTTGGATGGTCAGTCGATGCAGCGAGAATATTCTCGAGTAACGCACCGGAAATAAAACGGTGAGGCGTGTAATAACGAGTAACCGCGATGGAAAAGCAAGAAAGCAAGGAAGCAGCGGCGAGCGAGACAAGAGGAAGGAAGGGTGAAGGAGGGTGGGAACAAAAGGAGCAACGGAGGAGGACAAGGTAGGACAGGACAGGAGGGGAGATGAATTCCTGATGCGAGAGAACCGTCGGGAGGCTGGCGTGGAGAGTGACAGGAGGCAGACGAAGAAGAGACGATCGGATGGACAGACAGACAGACGGACGAACGGACGAGCGAGCGAGCGAGCGGGAGGGCGGACTGGCGGTCCGACAGAAGAACGAGGAGAGACGAAGAGCAAAGGGAAGCTTCGCATTGTGATTCTCTCGCGGTCTGCCAGAGAGTGACTGACGGGTGAATCCATTCTCCTTCCTCCATCTTTCTTTCCTTCTCCCACTCGTACACTTTCTCTGTTGCACCCGCTCTTACGGTCGCTTCTTCCTCTCGAAGTAACCGGCTCTCGAATCTCGCCTGCCTCGGCCTCGTAACTCGCAACGCGTTCCGGCCGCATCCTGTTTTCGCGGTTCGTGGTTCGCGGCTCATAACTGACTTACCCTCTCGGACCCTAGTCCTCCGAGCTATTTAATATGTATTCGTCGATCTGGTCCCCATCGATCGGCCCTGGGTCCTCTCAATCGGCCGGCGACGCGTTCGGCGTTGACGCAAATGTTTACGATTCACTTCGGCCCCTTGCTCGCTCGCTCGCTCGCTCGCCGGCTCCTCCACCTTCGCCCCGATCGCTTTGTCTTTCAGGACGGAACACGTCGGGTGGTCGGATCCGTGAGTCACTTAACCGTCCGAACGAGACGACAGGACCGAACCGAAGACGGAGCACCGACCTACCGTAGTCTACCTGACTGATTGACCGATGAGCCGACTGTTATCCTAAGTCAACACTCACTCCATCAGCCTGTCGAATCGCTTCCTCCCTTCGCCGACCACGTTCCTTCCTTGCTCCTCCGTGTTCGTGCTGGCTCGCGATTCCACCGGCGCGGCGCATAAAAATGCATCGTCGTCCGTTTGCTCCTATTCAACTAGCTACCGATTAAGACGTCCGATCGATCCTGTTCCCCCTCGCAACACGTTCCAGAAAACGAGAGCCACGATAGAAAAAAAATAATCGACGGAAAACAATGTCACGTGCTCCTACGAAACTATTCGACGCGAAGTACTACTTAGCGCCCACTGTATTATACTCTGGTACAAAAAGGGCATTATACCGTTAAATAAATAAATATATTTTCGACGGATATCGCAATGTCGTGGTACTTGGACACGATTCGCTCAATCTTGCTCGATCGACAAGATACGTGGAAACCTCGAATCTGCATCGCGCCAGACTTCGTCTTTGCTACGTTCGCCCTTCTTCCGACTGTTTGTCTGAATACACCCATACATGTAAGCAAATATGTATGTATTTCTCTGATGGATCTGCTTGGCTCGACTGTTTCCGAGTTGTCTTCTACTTGAGTCGCGAAACTCCGGATTTCCGGAAATCTTTCCACGACAAGATGGTCCGACGCGACGTTGCACAACAAATTTTATCGTGAAACGTGAAAAATCTCATAACTAGCATTAAAACGCCAACTACTTTAACGTCGTTTCTCGATATCGTTTTCTCCGTTGAAGCGGAGGCGCGCGGGAAAACGATCGAGTAAATTGCGTCGCGCGTACTTGACCGAACGGTATTAATGATCGGGCACGCACGGTCGCGCCGTAGGTGCGTCCGCTGATGCAGGTAGGACGACTGGATGATGGATGATGAGGTGCGCGTCCGGTAAGACCGACCGCTCGTCCGTTCTTTCGTTCGTTCTCGGTCGTCCGTTCGTACGATCATGCAACAGGCGACAGTGATGATCGATGCGTGGCTGCCGTAGCTGCTGCCGTGGCTGCCGCCGTTGCTCCTGCTTAAAAAGCTAAAATCCGCAAACCCGTTTCGCGGTTGTCCCGCGTCGCGCTCTAGCTCCCCCGCTTATGTCGTGCGAGTTTTGCTGTAATCGACTGAGCGAATTAAACCAGTAGACTATGTAAAGTCTCGAAGGAGCATACGGAACGAACTCAAAGGGTTACGGTACCGTTTCGCGGGTAATTATTCGTTATTCGCAGAGCAGAGAGCGGAGGCGATTCGCGGACGTGCGGATGGCGTCGGAAGTGAGGAAAGGATGTCGACGAAGGGTCGAGAAACCGCGGGACGACGGCCTGACGAGGTGGAAGAGGAGAGATGACAGGAGGACGCCTTCATCACGATATCCGTCACTCTTCTCCCCCTCCAGCGTGTCCTCGTTCCTCGGCCGTAACCTCCGAATCTCCTCATCCTTCGTGTCTCTTTCTTCTACTCGCCGTCCCGCCGCCTTTCGAAATGTCACTCGTGTTACTGACTGCCGGTGCAGAGGCCGTGACAACAATAATTGTCAGCGAAGTAACGTCTCTCGAGTCGGCTAGCGAAAGACGAAGGAGCACCAGGAGAGAGAGTTAAAAAGTCAGATGACGCCGGGAGAGATCGGAGCGCGGGTAAATGGGTGCAGGAGAAAAAGAGAGGCGGACATAGAGCGAAAGGATCACGTGGGGCGGATGAGGCGCGCGCTCGTGTACGCAAGAAAGAGTGAGGAACGATTCGCTCTATTTATAGAACCGGCAACAAACACGAAGCAGCTGGTGTCGATCCGTCCGGTTATCGTTTCGTTTACACAGCTTCTCCGTGTCGTAGCCCTCGCGCGAAGTGGTCGCGCGAGGAACGAGACCCCGATCGACCGAATTCTTTCCCCGCCGAATTTTCCACACCGACACCCCACTCTCCTCCCCCACCCGAGGC